CTCTTGGATTTGTTCCCGAGTTCTGTCTTTGGTTAGTATAACTCGCTTTAGGTGGTATGGAGCTTTAGTTGGTATCTCTCTTGCCTTTTCCAGTAGAAATTTGCGTTGCTTTTTGTTGGACAAAATTACAATTAGTGGCCTAGTTTTGTTTGGGGTATATTTCCCAAGTCTGAAGTGTGTGGCTGTCTTCACGTCGTCCAGTCCAAGTTTTGTAGACAAGGTTATGAAGTCTTTTTCGTCCTTGACCTTGTTTTCTAACATGTTTTCAGAGCTTTTCTCAGGTAGATTAAATAGTATGATGTTCAGTTCTCTAGCTTTGCGGTCCTCTAGCTCTTTGGTTCTTTTGTCAACTAGGCTGTTAACGTCTTGCCTTATTTCATCGAGTATTTCTTGTTGTGCGCTTGACATGTCGTCGGAGATCTGCTTCCTTGTATTTAGTTCCAAGTCCGTAAGTCCTGATTCAACACCTGTGATTCTTTGTTCTTTGGATTCCCATAGTTGCCTCAAAGTAGTGTTGATATTGTCTAGAGTTGGTTTCACTCCTACAGGACCATGACATATTGGCTAGTTCTCCATTCTGGATACAGGCGTATACTGTGTCTGATATACCGGTACATTTTTGGCAGAATTATAGCTTACATCCGCTGCAGGGTATATGGTTTGATGTGGCTTCTAGTTTTGCCTCGCACTTTCCGCACATTTCCATGGACGTATCATCTCGTGGTCTCTTACTGCGATTTATAAACGAGAAGTTACCCCCGTCGGCCATTATTTATAAGTTGTGCAGCAGTGATGAGATAATCCCACCTACTTCTTAGCTTTAAGTAAATGTGGCGGAACGGTGTGACTGAGTTAGCAGTTGGATAGTGTATACAATACAAGTTATGGTGAGTGATGAGATAATCCCACCTACTACTATTAACTTATATTACTTAAACCGACATTGCTGAAGGAAAAGAAGTAGTGTTTAATGTCCGATCAACTTGAAGATGTCCAGCTATAATGTTGGATGCAAGTTGTCGTGTAGTGATGAAATAATCACACCTACTACTGATCACTTGTAAGTTGATTATAATAGGCAGTCCTCGTCTTCGGTGTCCGCTGTCAACATCAGAGTATCCCCGTGAGGGTGAACCTCCTTGACTTGGTGTGCATCTCTCACTAACAATTTAGTCCACACTTCACTAAGGTTTTTCCCCGGGTGGATTCCGTCTTTCAATAGGCTGAAGTTATAGGAGTACCGTGGCAATTTTCCTTTCTGTTTACGACAACGCAGGATATTGTTGGTTAGTTTTACGGTTGACTGTTTGTTTTCTGTATTCAGTGCATTTATCCTGTCGTTCAGTATCTTATATTGACGTGAAATATCTTTGTCCTGCTCTTTCGAATCATGGGTATTGGGAAGACCTTTGTGTTTATTCCAGTTTGTGGTACTGAACGGGGGGCACTCTAAAAGCTTTATTGTGGCTCTTCCATGACTTTTGTTTACGCATTCGATGGCTCTATTAAAGTGGTAGATTATTTCGTTTATTGTGTCCTCATCACTGTCCGGTGTCCTCACTACGATATTTCTTCCTACTTTTTCACCGATGTCGCAGGTCCCGCTCCATAGGTATAAGTAAATGAATTTATGTCTCTTAATTGCCTTATAAATACGCTGTATTATCAAGTCAACAAGGCTAGATGTTCTTGCACCTGACATACACCAGAGTTCAAACGGGAAATATCCACCACTAGGGAATAATTTCTCAAGGTAAACCCCTTACTGTCCGAAACTAGAATTGCCTTTCTGATGCTATGTTCCTCCTCAGTGTCGCAAATACTGTCAAGTGCCTTGTTTATCCTTGTCACACTCATTGATAGGTTAGAAAAGGGTTTCTACTCACAGTTTTGACAGCTACACCCAAATCACTTTCAGAGAACACGTTGATTTTTCAAACTGGCCGCCATTTTCGTTTCACCAACCAGAAACCCTGTGTCACTTGAAGAGGTCTATTCGTGCATTATTACGAAATTTGTCGGAAAACTTTGTAACGGTTTCGTTTATGGATGTTTACCCGACGTTTATAATATAAATTTGGCTTTGTAAATACAAGGATGCCGTAGATATTGATAGATTCTTTTTTAGCTCATACGGAGCGATTATGGTACGACCGTCTCCATTGCGCGCGCACCTTCACCTTTCATATACATATACACGATTTATGGTGTATGGGCTGTATGACACGATAAGGTATGACATATGCATGTATTTATGGTGTATGGTCTGTTTGACACGATAAGTTATGGTTTATATATGAACCGCTACATATTAGATCATTTGAGACATGCTGCATGAATACAGAAGATAGGGGTGATATGGAGAATGTCACTTGGTTTAAAAATTACTGAATAACAACATTTAAAAGTGTATTTTTAATTTTAGCGTATAGTATGCACTTTAATATCTGAGTTAGAAATTGTTCCTTTTTCAGTTAGTCAAATTCAATGTCATTAGTAATCATTATATATATGCAACCGAAATATAAATATTATAGTATTTAAAAGTTCATAACAAATTCGCTATGAATGTGTCTCTGTTTCAAGCTATTTCACTTCTAACATATCTACCTACAGGTTTAAACTGGGAAGCTTTATGATCTGTCCCCCTGAGTAATTCCTTTGCTATATAATATTTTACTGGTGTCATATACATGAAGCTGTACAAGTTTGTGTCCAGACCAAAAACTGAGATATTTTTAAAGTGATCTTTGGTAATAAGGTATCTGCACAAATTAATTACTTTCCTGTTATGTCGGTTTCAGTGCGCTGGATACGTCCACTATTTAGCTTTATCGATAGCCAATGATTGTATTATTTTACAATCTCATCAAATGAAATCGAAACTCCGAATGCCAGTGCGAATTTAAGTGTCTTGATCTTTTTAATTGCATTGTAGTCACACAATCGTTGTAAAATATATGTAATGTCACATACATGTATACATACATGTATTTATGAAGGTTGCATTGAGTTCCGATCACAAAGAATATTACACTCATTAATTGTTTTTAGAGATATCGGGATGGATATCCCGTAATACGGGGTACATTAAGGACATGCACACTATTATCGTCTACATTAATTATCTCGTGCGCCCGACTTACTATGTCAAGCGCTTGACTTATCATCTCGCCATCCAACCTATCTACATTGTACATAACAGATTAGAATTGTGCGCACGAATAAGAACACCGCAAACGGGTACATAATACATTTCAAAACTTCATACATATTAATTTTCTAAAATCTGTACGAGGAAAATATTATGTTTATGATGCGAATTGGTGTTTTGATAAAATATTTGGAATTTAGTCTGACGTCTTGAGAAAACGTAAATATATCTTTGCATACAATGTTGACGTCATAGTATGATGACGTCATAACATGACGTTTGAAAGCCGCACTAAAATCTTGACCTAAATCAGTGTTTCAACTATGACCGCAAATGTAATATGTTACCCTTCTCTTAAAACTCCAATTACGTTCTTACGTACGCAATCATTTGTTTATGCTTGCATACGAGCTAGCATCCTCGATATCCAGGGTAACGCTCACTTTCGCTCTTTGCACCCCTGGAATATATGTCATAGCAAAATTGAAGGCTCCGTGTGTGCCACCTTGTTGATGAGACAATAATATTAGTTCAATCCTTTGATGTACATCAAAAGAATCTCGCGGTCACGTAACGGTAAAAATTGACAGGCTTTGAAGTCGGGCGTCTCTCCTTTGTACTCTACAAAGGACAGGACTCAGACCGGAAGCAGATCTGTTTTCCGCATGCAATTTAGCGGTAAGTTTTTTGATCACCTAACATATTAGGCCTGAGTAGCTTTGGATACAGTATGTATAGGTACTACAAACGCTCATACTTGTTTTAAAAATCACAAGCTGATTGAGTGCACAAGGTGGGAGTAATTGTTTTGTTTGTAAAACATTGTTTATTGGTCGGTAGGACCTGTCCCAATTTGCAAGCTGAAAATCGCTGTGTAAACAACTTGTCATTTCCACGTGTCAAACCTTATCTATGGTTTTTAATTTTTGATTACACATTGTAATTAGCTTTGCTCAATTGAGATGTGTTCTTGTTAATATATTGTGATCTTCTTGATGTCAATTTCTGGACAAAATTATATGTGTATCAAGATACATATCGTATCGAATGTATTGTGCTGTGAAAATACAGTTTACGGGGTGCAGCGTAGACTGAAACAATTCATTAAGAAGAACATGATTGGAAAGAACGAATGTCAAATGATAGTGACTGAAACAATTCACTAAATTGTTAAGCTTCGCAAGACTTTGTTGTGTATTGTAGCAAAACGATTTGTTTGCTTGCATAAGGAAATATACTTTCATTTCGGGTATTTTCAATCAAAGTTTAATTAAATTCGATTTGTGAGTTCAACGGTTCATTTTTTAAACACCAGAAACGATGTTATCCACTGTGCAGTGATACAAAAACGTACAACAGCTATTTTTTTTTATATATATATTTGAACTAAATTTACTATTTACATCGTATTGTGAAACTAACTTTAAAGTCAGATATGTGTATCAAGATACATATCGTATCGAATGTATTGTGCTGTGAAAATACAGTTTACGGGGTACAGGGTACTGGGTACAGGGTACTAGAATCAGGTACACATGCTTTAGCAAGTTTAAAAATGTATATTTAAAGGCTTCTCATTGAATTGTACACATTTTGATAAATTGATATGAATCAGTAGAACCAAAAACAGACAATATTACATTTGGTGTCCGATTAACTATACATCCGGAGTTCAGAGGAACTGGGTTCGGTCTGGCTGTTGAATTTCCCTATTCCTGTCGCACTCACACTGACAGACCACACACTGACAGACCACACACTGACAGACCACACACTGACAGACACACACTGACAGACGACCACACACTGACAGACCACACACTGACAGACACATGTACGTCAGCGTAGATCTAAGCTGATGTTTTGTCTTTGTTCCAGATGTGTTACCGACATGCCATGGCCCATATCAAGAGACTACATATGTTCGTACCGAACGGAAGCAAGCGTTTTATTAGGGAGTTATTCTACTTAATTTAACATAACCAGAAACACTGTTGATTTGTTTTATCAATATTTAGTCGCTTTATTACATATAGCCTTGCTTTAGATTAATCACGTCAGTATTCCGATTTGTTAAATTTCAGTTGGTACCATTAGCACTAAGGCTGATTACACGCACTTTTCCTATCCCCTCTACTAGAACACTAGCCCGTATACTCTCACTATGATGTAATATAGCTATACTGTCTAACGACTAATGGTTGTCAGTTAACTATCACTCAATTCTCTGTACTCCTTCCTTACTACTAACATTACATAACTATGGTTGTCATCTTCTGAACATCTTTCCACACGACGATTTCTGTAGCTAGGCTTGTATACAAATAGAGGATGTGGGAGGAGATTCAAAACGAATCCTCACATATTCGGAAGGAACTCATGCACGTGGAGTGGGCACGCCTAAAAACGTACTCTTGTTTCCGATTCACAATGGATGTTAGCATCATCCAGCTTGCTCGTGCAGGATTCTTTCTGAGTGGCAACAACTGCGTCACTTGTTATTCGTGTGACGTCACGCGGACAAGCTGGGATGATAACGAAGATCCAAACAATTATCATCAAAGAGTATCGCCAGCTTGTCACTATGTGACAGGATTAAACAGCATAAATATTCCAATTGCTCGTTCTCCGGAAGTAGCAGAAGAACCAGAAGCTACCGGAAGTGATAACTCAACTGATGGCCCTAGAGTGTCTAACAAACACAACGGGAATCAATCTGACTGTCCACAACAACACCGCGAGATAAGTAGACATATGTCTGGTGTTACTGAGGATACAGCAACAGAAGGTAACCAGACACCAACACAGACTGATGTAGCTACGAATGGACATGATGTGGTTGACCAACAACATACACCAGAATTCCGACATGGAAGAGACGTTCCAAATTGTCCGACGTCACATCCGGTGGACCGATTAAACGTGAACTTTTCCAAACCTAAGTACCCGGCTTACGCCGTTCTGAGTGTACGGGAGGCTACCTATGACGCATGGCCACAACACCTTCCTCAGACTCGGGAGCAGATGGCTGGAGCGGGCTTTGTTTTCACCGGTCACGCCGACTACACACGCTGTTTCTTTTGTGGGGGCGGTCTCCGAAACTGGGAGCCCGGAGACGATCCATGGACGGAGCATGCGCGCTGGTTTCCTAGATGCATGTATTTACTTCAGAATAAGGGAGAGGACTTTGTCCGAACCGTCAAACAGTTAAGTTCGGCTTCGGTAAGTACACGGGATCCGTTAACTAATAAACGCTGAATTAAAAAGGGAACTGAACACGTGATCAAAAGTAGCATATAACTGAACACGTGATCAAAAGTAGCATATAAGAAACAATCACTACTCTCTCGGATGATATTATCCGTTTACGCCTATATTCGTGTCTGATCTCTTTTTTACAAAGTCAAAGTGTTCATCTCTGTACTTGCTTGTAAGACAGATAATTTACCTGTGTATATGCCGATATATTCTACTGAAGGCCAAAGCAAGTTTCCACCCAAAATTTATGCTCTTGCAGCCTGATAATTGCAATAACGGTCAACACGAAGCGACCGATACACAGAAATCTCGAAGTGAGACAGGTACTGACATGTTGAAGTCTGCAGCGGTCCAGAGCGTGTTATACATGGGACACAGCACGGCAATAGTAGAGCGAGCGGTCTATTCTCTGGTCAACCACAAAAGTAAGACATGGTTTATCTCCTACCATATATGTGTCGTACATGTACCATACATAGTTGTATCGTACCATATATATCTCGTACCATATATATCTCGTACCATACATATCTCGTACCATATATATCTCGTACCATACATATCTCGTACCATACATATCTCGTACCTCGTACCATACATATCTCGTACCATACATATCTCGTACCATATATATCTCGTACCATACGTATCTCGTACCATACATATCTTGCACCATATATATCTCGTACCATATATATCTCGTACCATACATATCTCGTACCATATATATGTCGCACCATATATATCTTGTACCATATATATCTCGTACCATACATATCTCGTACCATATATATGTCGCACCATAAATATCTCGTACCATAATGTCTCCAAAACTGAGTGTAGTACCGGTAGATATTGTGTTATATTACCTAACTAGGTCTCTACAATACATGATGTGACGTAAACATTTAAGGATTAACCTTTTATTTTGTTTTGTTTATGAGATAATAAATCCGATGGAGCACGAGGTAAATTGCGTAAACGCGAATCGTTTACGAACAATTTACCGACCGCTCCATTGGATTTATTATCTCATAAACTAAACAAAATGAAAGGTTAATCCTTATATTTACAATATTTTCTTTTAACAATAACACCATTAAAAGATGCGGATACGAGCATTTACCTTGTGTAATCTGCGTTCAAAATTATTTTGACGTCATGTTAATTCATGCGAAACAACCATTCGCAAAAGCCGTTGACAGACAGCTAAACCCCGCCCACTTTATCCGTGACAACAAATGAAAAAAGTTCCTCCATTTCAATAGTTTTATTCACATAAAATATCCATATTTAACATCATACAATATCTTCATAATTGTATCGGTAGGTAATGGAAAAAATAATTTTATATTTCTATGAAATTGAGGTACTGGGGCAAAATACTTAGTAGAAAATACTAATGACCGCTGACGTTCATTTTTTAAAAGTGATGCGCCCAAAGGCGGGAAATAGGGAGTGCTACCATGTCGTCGAGCGATAGCGACTAGCCTAGGCCTGGTGGAAGTTGAATGTGCAGTTATTGAAATTGCTGTTTGTAAGCAAACCAGAGGTTTGTACAGATGACATGTACACTGTATGATGTGTATAAATCGTCGTCGGATTGACTGTTGATGTAACATTTGGGAGACGAAAAATTTGACCTACATTTCTAGGAACGATAGCCATCGTTTCTGTGCCGACACTCATAGATGAGAGACTGGAGCTGGTGGAGCGTTTTTGTATCATTGAACAATCACGAATGTAGGCCCTGACACTAGCTTCATTTGTATGACCGGTCATGAACATGATCGGTCTTGTCTCGAACCCGACATCATTTGGAGTCTTGAACGCACGGTAGTCTAAATGCTAGCGTTTATTTGTAAACATTGACACGAGGCTTGCGGAAAGAAGTCTGCCCATATTTACATATACTCATACGCGGTGAGAACTGGATCACGTTCTACACTCAAGTGATTGAGAAATAAACAGACTTGCCTACACTTACATTATCGATTCAGAAACAGTGGCGATTGTAAATATTATCCTATAACCGTGTTTGTTTTGTATTCCGGTTGTCTCACTTAGTTTACGTGATGTTGAGGCCGCTGAGCTTCCAGACGATGTGTTCCGGTTGTCTCACAAGTTTGCTTTGTAATCCGGTTGTCTCATTAGTTTGTTTTGTATACCGGTTGTCTCACTAGTTTGTTTTGTATTCCGGTTGTCTCACTAGTTTGTTTTGTATTCCAGTTGTCTCACTAGTTTGTTTTGTATTCCTGTTGTATCACTAGTTTGTTTTGTAATCCGGTTGTCTCACTAGTTTGTTTTGTATTCCTGTTATCTCACTAGTTTGTTTTGTATTCCGTTTGTATCACTAGTTTGTTTTGTATTCCAGTTGTCTCACTAGTTTGTTTTGTATTCCGGTTGTTTCACTAGTTTGTTTTGTATTCCGGTTGTCTCACTAGTTTGTTTTGTCTTCCGGTTGTCTCACTAGTTTGTTTTGTATTCCAGTTGTCTCACTAGTTTGTTTTGTATTCCGGTTGCCTCACTAGTTTGTTTTGTATTCCGGTTGTCTCGCTAGTTTGTTTTGTATCCCGGTTGTCCCACTAGTTTGTTTTGTATTCCGGTTGTCTCCCTAGTTTGTTTTGTATTCCGGTTGTCTCACTAGTTTGTCTTGTATTCCGGTTGTCTCACTAGTTTGTTTTGTATTCCAGTTGTCTCACTAGTTTGTTTTGTATTCCGGTTGTCTCGCTAGTTTGTTTTGTATTCCGGTTGTCTCACTAGTTTGTCTTGTATTCCGTTTGTCTCACTAGTTTGTTTTGTATTGCGGTTGTCTCGCTAGTTTGTTTTGTATACCGGTTGTCCCACTAGTTTGTTTTGTATTCCGGTTGTCTCCCTAGTTTGTTTTGTATTCCGGTTGTCTCACTAGTTTGTCTTGTATTCCGTTTGTCTCACTAGTTTGTTTTGTATTCCGGTTGTCTCGCTAGTTTGTTTTGTATTCCGGTTGTCTCACTAGTTTGTCTTGTATTCCGGTTGTCTCACTAGTTTGTTTTGTCTTCCGGTTGTCTCACTAGTTTGTTTTGTATTCCAGTTGTCTCACTAGTTTGTTTTGTATTCCTGTTGTATCACTAGTTTGTTTTGTATTCCTGTTGTCTCACTAGTTTGATTTGTATTCCGGTTGTCTCACTAGTTTGTTTTGTATTCCAGTTGTCTCACTAGTTTGTTTTGTATTCCGTTTGTCTCACTAGTTTGTTTTGTATTCCGGTTGTCTCGCTAGTTTGTTTTGTATTCCGGTTGTCTCGCTAGTTTGTTTTGTATTCCTGTTGTATCACTAGTTTGTTTTGGGGGCCAGTTGTCTCACTAGTTTGTTTTGTATTCCGGTTGTCTCGCTAGTTTGTTTTGTATTCCGGTTGTCTCGCTAGTTTGTTTTGTATTCCGGTTGTCTCGCTAGTTTGTTTTGTATTCCGGTTGTCTCGCTAGTTTGTTTTGTATTCCGGTTGTCTCGCTAGTTTGTTTTGTATTCCGGTTGTCTCGCTAGTTTGTTTTGTATTCCGGTTGTCTCGCTAGTTTGTTTTGTATCCCGGTTGTCCCACTAGTTTGTTTTGTATTCCGGTTGTCTCACTAGTTTGTCTTGTATTCCGTTTGTCTCACTAGTTTGTTTTGTATTCCGGTTGTCTCGCTAGTTTGTTTTGTATACCGGTTGTCCCACTAGTTTGTTTTGTATTCCGGTTGTCTCACTAGTTTGTTTTGTATTCCG